GGTTTGAAGATTGAAGATGTTTCTTTCGTTGAAGGATTAAAATTTAATTTGTTGAGCACTTGTCAATTTTGTGATAAAGGCTATCTTGTAGAATTTTCTAAAGATAATTGCCTAATCAAAAATGAGCTCACAAATTAGATTGTTCTCTCTGGAAAAAGACGAAAGAATATGTATGTTGTTGATTGGAGCACAAGCAAAGATTCAGTATGCTTAATGGCCAGAAATTTGAATGAAGCTAATTGGGAATGGCACAGAAAGCTCAACCATTTAAACTTCAAGACTATCAATCAGCTTGCAAAGAAGAATCTAGTAGAAGGCTTGCCAGATATTATTTTCAAGAAGGACCAAGTGTGTGATGCATGCCAACGCGGAAAGCAAATCAAATCATCATTCAAATCAAAGACACACGAGTCAACGTCAAGACCGCTAAGCTTACAACATATGGACTTATTTGGACCGATTGATCCAATAAGTGTAAGTGGTAAGAAATATACTCTCGTTGTTGTTGATGATTTTTCCAGGTACACTTGGACCGTGTTTCTCAAGAAGAAAAATGAAGTTGAGCAAGTTCTACCGAAGCTGTTGAAGCAACTACAAAATGAGAAAGAATTGCAAATATCAAAAATACGAACGGATCGCGGAACCGAGTTCGTGAATGGAGTTATACAAGCTTTTTGCAATTCACATGGAATTTCTCATCAATTATCTGCCGCAAGAACACCGCAACAAAACGGTGTTGCCGAAAGAAGAAACTGGACGCTCAAAGAAGCTGCACGAGTGATGATTAGTGCTGCCAGTCTCCCGAAACGATATTGGGCGGAAGCTATCAACACTGCTTGCTACACGCAAAATCGAAGCATGATCCATAAGCAGTACAAGAAGACGCCATATGAGCTATATAAAGGGAGAAAACCAAATATTGGTTATTTTCATATTTTTGGATGCAAATGTTTTATTCATATTAATGATAAATTGCATCTAAAAGCTTTTGATGAGCGTGCAGATGAAGGAATTTTTCTAGGATATTCGACTACCAGCAAGGCGTTCAGAGTTTTGAATAAAAGATCAATGGTGGTTGAAGAATCTATACACGTGGTATTTGATGAAAAATCACAGATCAAAAATGATGCACTGGACGAAGAAATTGCACAAAATGGTAACAAGTGTCATATTGATTTTTGTGATACTAATGATACGTGTGAAGATGATGTTTTGCAGGGAATGGATGAGTTGGAAATTAATTCTCTAGAAAATCCCATCCCTCATCCAGAAGAAGTTGGAAATTCTTTTAATAATAATTTTGGGAGTGATGCCTCACGTGATAATGAGGATGCAGTACGGGTTCCAGTTTGTGATCAAGTTACTGGTGAAGTTGGTAATCAATTTCAAGAAGAATTAAATGTGGAAATTCGAACCAACTCTCCCAGTACACAACAAATGGATCCACCCAGTACCATGGAAGCATTGCTCACGTGTTATCTATCTCAAATTGAACCAAAAGAAGTTGATGAAGCTCTCAATGATCCGGACTGGATAAATGCTATGCAAGAAGAGCTTGATCAATTCAAAAGAAATGATGTTTGGGAACTTGTTCCAATACCGGCGAACCACAATGTTGTAGGAACCAAATGGGTCTTCCGGAACAAAGCAAACGAAGAAGGCGTGATTGTTAGGAATAAAGCAAGGCTCGTTGCAAAAGGATACTCTCAAGAAGAAGGAATTGATTTTGATGAAACTTTTGCACCGGTGGCCCGACTTGAAGCAATCAGAATTTTCCTAGCCTACGCCGCACACAAAGATTTCACCGTTTATCAAATGGACGTGAAGAGCGCATTCTTGAATGGTCTACTCAAAGAAGAAGTCTATGTCGAACAACCCCCAGGTTTTGAGGTAAAAGGCGAAGGTGATAAAGTCTACAAAATTAAAAAGGCATTGTATGGGTTGAAACAAGCACCTAGAGCTTGGTATGATACTTTGTCAATGTTCTTGATAAGCTGTGGATTCACCAAAGGCCTTGTTGATAAAACTCTATTTAGAATTCAAGATGGTGATCAAATTTTATTAGTGCAAATATATGTTGATGATATTATTTTTGGAAGCACTAACAATTCTTTGTGTGAGAAATTTTCGAAGCATATGCAGAATAAATTCGAAATGAGCATGATGGTGAATTGAATTACTTCTTGGGCTTACTGATGTTATCACATCTGTGCATGTTTTTATAGCTTTTCTGATTCATTTTAGAAACAAAGTTATTGAATCATGTCCATTTATTACTTGTTTTCCTTGCTTTGTCGTTAGATTATGTTTTTACACTTGTTTTGAATGCCTTACGGTGTTCGGTAGTGTTTTTCTTCACCATTACAGGGTGAGCGTGAGAGCAAGGGAAGAATTTCAAGCACGAAATGATTAAAAGAGGAAGAAGTCGAAGCATCAGCAATTCGACGCGTCAAGCCCATGCCTCGACGCGTCGAAAAATTCCAGTAGCTTCAAACATCGCACATTTTGGAGGCTCGACACGTCGAGATTGCGGAGAGACGTTAATTTGGAAGACTCCTAAATTTATGCCATCGGGTCTCTACTATAAAAAGATCATCTTCTATCAACCCTAGGTCTCTTTTTCTTCTGCGATTTCGGTGTTTTGAAGGCAATCAAGAGCAAAGCACAAAGAGGACCAACTTGAAGATTTACAACTAGCTTTGGAATAGAGAACTAGCTAGAAATATTCGGGAGAACTCTTTCACTCTTACTCTTATTCTCGTTGTTATTTGTTTATCTTTAAGCATTGAATTTACTGTTATTATGGCCATGAGCGGCTAAATTCCTTAGGGATTTTTGGGTGAATTTGTTTATGAACCTATGTGCCTTGTTCGTTAATTTCTTAATATATTTATGTTTGGTTTTATGATTTGTGTTGCAATCTTATTTTAACCTGTTGTTGTTGGTAATTAAAGGCCTAAATTACTAGCTTCATAGTCATATTTGTGTCACCAATGGGAATTGGGGCATAAATTAGGGCACACACGATTGCACCTAATGGTTAGACCTTGGGAAAGGGGAATTTATTAGGGGAAGTTTATTCTAGATTGTTGCTCATCGGGAGATGGTAGTAATTAGGAATAATTGAATGCTGATCTTCGATCTTATCGGGTGTTTAAGCCACGGGAGTGGAAATTCACTAGGAATAGAGATTACGGGAGTAATTCGATTCCACTTTGCATTCCCACACAGATCTTAATTCCAAACCAAATATTACAAACGTTAATTGGCACTAGGTGATTAAACATTGTGATCCCAAGAATCCCATTTTGCTCTATTGTTTACGAAACCTTAATATTTGTTTTATTTCTTGCTCGTTATTTTATGCAACCAATCAACCATCAAGTTTCGATCAGACTAGCTCTTATGAGTAAGCGAGTAATTAGTGATTAGTACCCCATCTCCCTGTGGTTCGACTACCTGAATACTCCGGGAATTATTTGTTTGCAAATATACTACGCATCAAATTGGCGCCGTTGCCGGGGAGGTGGCGCTACGTACTAATATTAGTGAAAGTTTTATTTTCGGAGTCTAGTCTTTTTTTTTTTTAATTTTCTTTTCTTTTATTTTAATTCATTTTTATTTTCGCTAATCGATAACTAGTTTCTTGTGTTGAGCTGTGTTTCTGTTATCAGCGGACTTGGTGTTATATGCGAACTCGCTCTTCAGGGAACGAAGGATTAGAACCTTTTAATCCAGAGATCGAAAAGCGAGCCAAGTTCTTAAGAAAACAGGTTAGGATGGCGAACAATGGAAATCAGAATAATCTGGCTCTCGATGGAGAGGGAGTCAATCAACCACTACGCATTTGGAGGCCCATTTCAGATTACGTTGCTCCAGATGCAGCAGGACATGGAAGTATCAATGTGCCAGGGGTTGATGCTAATAATTTTGAAATAAAACCGGCTATAATTCAGATGGCTGCTTCGGATCCTTTTGGTGGGTCACCAACAGAAGACCCTACTGCTCACATTGCAAAATTTCTGAGGATTTGCAGCACTTTCCAAATTAATGGAGTCCCGGGAGATGCTATCAAGCTTCGTCTCTTTCCATTCACTGTAAGGGATAAAGCTAACAGTTGGCTTGCCTCTTATCCGGCGAACTATTTTGAAACTTGGGACCAGTTGCACAGAGAGTTCCTTAAGAGATTTTTTCCCATATCTAAGACTCAGAAAATGAGGAGATCTATTCAGAATTTCAGACAGTTAACTGGTTTGTCTTTGGCAGAGTCATGGGAGAGATTCAAAGAGATGAGGATACAATGTCCTCATCACGGTATTCAGAATTGGGATTTAATGATGGCTTTCTATGAGGGATTACTGGACAATTCAAAAATCCTAGTCGATGCTTCATCGGGAGGATCATTTACAATCCTAGAGCCAGATCAAGCTGAAGAATTGTTGGAAAAGATTGCGATGAATGGGACGACTTGGTATTCAGAGAGATCTCCCCAGAGGTTGATAGGAGGCGTGACTGAAGTTGATCAGATATCCGCTCTATCGGCTAAGTTTGATAATGTAGCCACTTTAGTTCAACAGTTGGCCCAGATTACTATCAAGAATCAAGCTCCAGGTAATGTTTCTAAAGCTTCTACTCCTCCAAGACCTGTAATGATGTGTGAGTTGTGTGGAGGAGAGCACAATTCAGAGGAGTGTCTCAGTGTTGATTCTCAAGCTACAATGGAACAAGTTGATGTGGTAGGGTATGGTAGTATACAACCGGCATTCCAACAACGAGGAACCTACAATCCAAATGCATCGAGGAATCATCCTGGTTTCTCTTGGGGTAATCCAGCTGGGGCGGCTAATCCCTAGTACTTAAATAGTAGAAGTCAACCACCAGGATTTCAGGGGCAGCAAAATTTTAGAGGAAATCATCCACCACAATTCAGGCAGAACCAAGGATATCAAGTTCCAGTAAATCAATCCAAGCCTAATGTGGAAACACCGGTCCCGTCGAATATGGAATTATTGTTGGAAAAATTGGTTAAAGGTCAGTTTGAGATTACAAAAAGGTTGGATCGGATGGATACTCGCCAAAATATGGTTGAAAATCAGTTAGCAAATCAACCATCTATATCAAGTACTAAAGTCACAGGTAAGTTGCCAGCTATGCCCGAAAAACCAAGAGAACACATGAACGCCGTCACCACTAGGAGTAGGAAGCAACTATTGGACCCACCATATCCTAATGGGGAACAAGTTGTCAAGAAGAATCTAGAAGGTGAAAATGAGAAAGTGAATGAGGGTGTTATTGCTCAAGATAAGGAAGATGAGATACAAGAAATTGAACCCGTAAAGAAGCATACACCACCTCTACCCTTCCCACAAAAATTCCAGAAATCTAGGGAAGAGGAAAGAAGAGCAAACTTCTACAGTTTGATCAAGCAACTGGATATCACCATTCCTTTTATTGATGCAGTGACCGAGACTCCCTCGTATGCTAAGTTTTTGAAAGAGATTTTATCCAACAAGAGGAGAGCTGAGAATCGTGAGACAGTAGCAGTAAGTGAAGAATGTAGTGCTTTAATTCAAAACAAGCTTCCTCCAAAACTTAGGGATCCTGGGAGTTTCTCTATCCCTTGTGTTATTGGAGGATCACTTGTTCAAAAAGCTTTATGCGATTTAGGGGCAAGTGTGAGTTTGATGCCTTATTCTTTGTGTCAAAAGCTGCAACTTGGAGAGCCAAAACCTACATCCATAACTCTTCAGTTGGCAGACAGATCAGTGAAATATCCTATCGGAATTCTGGAGGATGTGCCAGTGAAGATTGACAAATTTTACATTCCGGGAGACTTCGTGGTTTTAGAGATGGAAGAAGATGCTAAAATTCCTATTATCCTTGGGAGACCATTCTTGGCAACCGCTGGAGCTATAATCAATGTCAAAAAAGGAACCTTAGTTCTTGAGATTGGAGAAGATAAAGTTGAATTTAATGTTTTTGAATTGGCTAACAAATCTTCTTGTCTTGATTCTTGCTTTTATGTAGACGAAATCGACTCATGTATTGCAACTTATGAGAGGGGTAAATGGATCTCCAATGACCCTTTACAACTTGAAGGTGAAGATTCTACAAAGAGGTGAATGCTTGGAGGATGGTACGAATGATGAGGAATCACAGGAATTGCCACTAATATTCCTTACCTGTAACCTCGAGGAAAAGGAACCACCACAGGTAGAATTAAAACCTTTACCAACTAACTTGAGGTATGCTTATCTTGGTCCAAATTCTACTTACCCAGTGATTGTAAGTGCTCATTTGAAAGATGATGAAACGGAAAAATTATTAAATGTGTTAAGACAACATAAGAGAATCATTGGTTACACTATTGATGATATTGTTGGAATTAGTGCTTCCTACTGCATGCACAGGATTAACTTAGAGGATGGGCGTAGACCCAGTGTTGAGCACTAACGTAGGTTAAATCCTACGATGCAGGAGGTTGTGAAGAAAGAGATCCTAAAATTGTTGAAAGCTGGCATCATTTATCCTGTTCCTGGCAGTAAGTGGGTCAGCCCTATTCACGTGGTCCCAAATAAAGGGGGGACAACTGTAGTCCGCAATGAGAAAAATGAGCTCATTCCTACCAGGTTAGTCACTGGGTGGAGGATGTGTACGGACTACAGAAAGTTGAACGATGCCACCAGGAAGGATCATTTTCCTCTTCCGTTTGTTGATCAGCTGATTGAAAGGATGGCTAAGTACTCTTACTTTTGCTTTCTTGATGGTTTTTCGGGGTTCTTCTAGATCCCAATCCACCCTGATGACCAAGAGATGACTATGTTTACATGCCCATATGGCACCTTTGCATATCGAAGGATGCCATTTGGGTTATGTAATGCACCAGCTACATTTCAAAGGTGCATGTTAGCCATTTTTTTCGATTTAGTTGAGAAGACTATGGAAGTTTTCATGGATGATTTTTCTGTATATGGTTCTTCTTTTGATAATTGTCTTGATAATTTGGATGAGGCATTAAGAAAGTGTCAAGAAGCAAACCTTGTTCTAAATTGGGAAAAATGTCACTTTATGGTACAACAAGGGATTGTTCTTGGACACAAGATATCAGAAAAAGGCATTGAAGTTGACCCGGCCAAGGTGGAAGTCATAGAGAAACTGCCACCACCTGTTTCAGTAAAGGGAATAAGGAGTTTTCTTGGCCATGCAGGGTTATACAGGAGATTTATCAAAGACTTTTCAAAAATCTCTAAACCTTTAACTCAATTGCTTTTAAAAGATGCTAACTTTGTTTTTGATGATGCTTGCCTTGAAGCTTTCTGCAGATTGAAGAAGGCATTGACAACAGCTCCCATAATGTCACCGCCAGATTGGAACTTACCATTTGAGATTATGTGCGATGCTAGTGACTATGCTGTAGGGGCCGTCCTTTGTCAAAAGAAGGGCAAGTGCCTACACCCAATTTACTATGCAAGCTGTACTCTTGATGCGGCTCAGGTTAATTATGCCACAACAGAAAAGGAGATGCTGGCTGTGATTTTTGCTGTTGATAAATTTCGATCCTACCTGAACGGATACAAGGTCATTGTCCATACCGATCACTCAGCATTGAAATACTTGATGAGCAAAAAGGAATCCAAGCCAAGACTGATGAGGTGGACCCTTCTGCTTCAAGAGTTTGACTTGGAAATCATAGACAAAAAGGGAACAGAAAATCTTGTAGCTGATCATTTGTCCCGATTAGAGAACCAAAACGAAGTGGCTGAAGGAGAAAAGATTCCAATCAATGATTACTTCGTGGGAGAGCAACTGATGGCTCTTCGTGCTTTTATGCCCTGGTATTCAGATTTGGTAAATTATGTGGTTTGCCAACAATTTTCACCAAATGCTTCTAGGTCGTTGAAGAAGAAACTACAAACTGATGCAAAATTCTATCTTTGGGATGAATCGTTTCTATACAAGAGATGTGCAGATGGAATATTAAGAAGATGCTTGCCCGAAGACGAGGTAGAAAGTGTCTTAAAGCATTGTCATTCATCACCTTATGGAGGGCATTTTGGACCTTCTCGAACCGCGAAAAAGGTTTTACAGTCAGGATTTTATTGGCCCAGTATATTCAAAGATTCACATTCTTTCATAGCTCGTTGTGATAAGTGCCAAAGAGTGGGCACAGTGGGAAGGAGAAACGAGATGCCTCAACAAAGTATTCTTGAAGTGGAACTATTTGATGTCTGGGGTTTGGATTTCATGGGTCCATTCCCCAAGTCTTTTGGTAATGAATAGATGCTAGTGGCAGTGGACTATGTCTCCGAATGGGTTGAAGCCATTGCTTGTCCTACTAATGATTCCAAGGTTGTCATCAAGAAGAATATTTTTGCAAGGTTTGGGGTGCCAAGAGCTTTGATCACTGATAATGGGACACATTTTTGCAACAAAGCGTTGGGGAAAGTTCTTGAGAAGTATGGAATTCATCACAGACTCTCTACACCATACCATCCCCAAGCCAATGGTCAAGTGGAACTGTCAAACCGAGAAATCAAATCCATTCTTGAGAAGGTGGTCAATCCGTCTCGAAAAGATTGGTCCACAAAGCTTGATGATGCATTGTGGGCGTATAGGACCGCTTTCAAGAATCCTATTGGAACTTCACCTTTCAGACTTGTTTATGGGAAACCTTGTCACTTGCCCGTGGAGTTAGAACACAAAACCCATTGGGCAGTCACGACGCTCAACATGGATTTGCAACTCGCAGGTGAGAAGAGGCTACATCAACTAAACGAACTTGACGAATTCAGGCTCGAAGCCTATGACAATGCGAAAATCTACAAGGAGAAGACCAAGAGGTGGCATGACAAGCACATTCTAAAGAGAGAATTTGTCCCGGGAGACGACGTCCTTCTATTCAATTCAAGGATGAAATTGTTCCCAGGAAAATTAAAATCCAAGTGGACTGGGCCACACAAAGTGATTAAGGTACATCAATCGGGTGCCGTGGTGCTTCAAGGAACACAAGATGAATTCACGGTCAATAGACAAAGGTTGAAGCACTACTATTCACCCGAGGAACCTAAGGTCAATGTGATACATTGCCTTCATCTCCCGACCTACATGTGACACCTGAAAAGGAGGTACAGTCGAGCTAGCGACGTTAAACTTAGCGCTCCATGGGAGGCACCCCATGTTATCCTTTAATTTATCGCATTTTTTATTTCTTGCTAATTATTTAGTTCTAGTTTGTTTTACAAAATTTGAGTGTTTTTTCTGGTTTCTGTGTCAAACAGCGGTATAGGGGTTGTCTTCGGCTAAGTAAAAAGGCCAAAAATCGACCTAGGCGAAAAATTCCATACTGGAATTTTTCGACGCGTCGAGTTCCCACTGATTCGAAGGGATAACCTACTGGAAATTTTCGACGCGTCGAGCCCATTCCTCGACGCGTCGAAACCATCGCGTCTCGAAAATTTTCCTACGGGAATTTTTCGACGCGTCGAGACGCGACAGAACAGATCTGTTAAATTGCGACCGGCGGTCCGTTTTTCTCCCCAAACTCATAATTTTCTCTCAATCTCTCACTCGCCCAAGATACCCCAGGTCCGAATCCTCTGGTTCTCCTCTCCATTCACTTCCTAAAGCTGCAAGGTAACAATAATCACTCTTTTCTACTTTCAATTTCTTGATTTGGAGGTGCATTTTTGCTCTATTCTTGGGTAGGCGCCCTACCCACGAATTTTTCCTCTGATTTTGAATTTTTGGTAGTTAAATTTCCCATTGTTGATTACTAATGATTGATTGTTGCTATATACATGTTGTAATTGCTACATTAGAAACCATTGCACTCACATTTTGATTTAATTTCCTAAATTTCTTCGTTGGTTGTTTAAGCTCTATTTCACTTTGTTTTGATAGTTTTAATTCCTTATTTTAGTCTATGATGATTGTAGACCTTGCTTCTGATGATGGGTTCCCTTGTTTTGTTGTGTGGTGAACTTGTGGGATGAATTTGATATGTCAATTTTACATAAACCTAGTGTTAAAGTTCATGCCCACAAGGTGTTTGATTAAATGCCCAAGTGAAGTTTGTGCCCTTGATTGAAAAGTTTGAAATCCTTAGACTCACTTTTGATATTTTGGCTATAAATTCTAGATCAAGTACTTGAAAGTTTTGTTTTATTTTTGAATTTTGTAGGTTTTTCCTATGGCACCAAGAGCCCGTCAACCATCCAAACGGCCAAGAGCCGAATCTTCGCAAGTCCGGGAACAACCACAACATGCTGCACAATATGAACGTTTTGTAACAGACGCAGCGGCTCAACGATACCATCAGTTGACGTCTGCCCGGCCCGTTCTAAAAAAACGTGGCGCACATATAGTGGTCCCGGAAGCGTGGAATTGGGCACCCCGATTCCTTGCTCAACCAGGAGATGCATTTAGCAATCTGGTGCGGGAATTCTATGCGAATGCAAAGGATGGCCTCGAAACCAATGTTTGTATTGTCCGGGGCGTTCCGGTCGACTTCTCTGCGGAAGCCATTAATGAGTACTACGGTACGCGTAATTACATGGGCGATGATTACTTTAATCGAGATATGGGTCGTGGCCACATGGACCAAGATTGGCTGAACCGTATTGCACAATTCTTCCACCCGATAGCCGAATGGAATATCAGGGGGGGTGTAGCCTCCCACATGGACTACAAGTATTTTAAGACTGCTGACAGGGGAATCTTGGACTTCATCAAAGCAAAGCTTGTCCTAAATTCTCACAAGGGGACTGTCCGAAAAGACTTAGTGCTCCTTACCTACTGCATCTGGCAACGCAAGACTATTGACATTGGCCATATCATCAACGGCAATATCCGCGAAGCTGCTGATGCGAAGGGTCGATTCTACCTCAGCCACTCCTACCTCATTACGCATCTTTGCCAGCTGGCTGGGGTTCCTATTGATGAATCCCAGGAGGTCAAGTTAGCTCCACAAGCCTTCATATCTGAGCATTACCTTGAGAAACGCTACAAGACCGGTCAGCAATTCGGGGAAGAGGAAGACGATGAAGATGATGAAGGGGGCGATGATGCGATTGCCCCACAGATGGCTGCACCTGCACCTGCCTTCCCTCATGATTGGCAGGAT